ACTTTTGTGGATTAATGTATTTATATATGTACGCACCTATGCTTATACCTCTAGCCATTGCCTTGCTCCCTAGGTCCTTCCTCTGTTTCCTTTTACCTTCCTCCTGCCCCACCATCACTTCCTCCCTATTTCCTCCTCTTAGAACTTCCTCTTAGCTAGTTTGCTGTTGCTCCAGCACCCTCAGGATCTCTATCTCCTCCTTGTTGACTCTAATTCCTTAGTTGTTCCCCTGTCGATGGCACTGCCTGCTCCCCCACACCCTTCCCTCACCGTCCTTGTCCCTCAAATCCCCCAAGGCCAAGTGGTCCTGCTGTGTTAGAAGCTGCTACCAAGGGTTCCATAGAAAGTAAATGTCTGGAAATGAAAGAAGACTACATATGTACAAACGTACCTGATTCAATCAATGTATGAATTGTAAAAAGAGATGTAAGAGTCCCCAATAAAATGATAAACAAATAAAAAAGAAGCGAAAATAAAAACAAACAAATTAATTTTTTTAAGCAAGCTGTTTTAAGTTTTTGAAACGAAAAATGATGATCTGATATATAAATCCCCAGTTGAATCTGTATAAAAAGTTAATTTTTTAAAAGGTGATGGAGCAATTTTATTCTTAACACATGAGGTCATGGCAAATTACAATTGTTCCACAGCAAGGGTTTTTGTTTGTTTGCTTTGTATTTTCTTTTTTAAAGCTTAAAATTTTTTAAATATAATTTTAAAAACAGCCCTGAGCTCAAGGGCCCTTGCCAGACATATTAAAAAATCCACAGCTCTGAGCAGTGGATTATTACGTTTACCATTTTAGGTAGTGTAGACTCTCGGGGGCAGGGGGGTGGGGGAGAGCTGCCCCAAGTTATCTTAACTTTGTTGTTCAATAAACCTGCTGCCATGCCACCTCCAAAAAATAATAATAATAAATAGTCATTGAAAACCCCTTGCAGCACAAATCTGTCCCCACACTTGTAGTATCTCCAAGAGTAGAGCTCAAAGATAGCAGCTTGATTACTTTTAGTCTTCTTGCAGTAAAGGGAGGGAAAAAATAATAAGGTCGTTCTTCGTTGTTACAAAGGAAGAGTCAAAATTGTCATTAGTGACAAATAAATGCATATGTTTAAATTCAACTGTGATAAACATAAGGAAATAAAATTTCTCTAGATTTCTGTGCCCCTATAAAAAGCTCTAGACCCATCAAACTACTCACATGACATGGAAATTAGCTCTATAGCCCTTTTTCTTCTCATTTCTGTGATCAAAACAGATAATAAAACTTATCTCCCCTAGAGAACCAAGTCAGCCTAGGTAGTTTCCCAGAATAAATTATCCAAGGCTCCAAGAAGACAAGTGTGGCTATCTCCCCAGCGATTTACAGTCCAAGGGGGAATTGAGGCCTAGGAACCTGAAGGCATCTCTGTATTGTTAAAACTGAGACAGGACCTGCCTGGCTCTAGGGAGCTTTGATTTACATACCAAATGGCTGAAGTAAGAACTTTTCTTGAAGGGAGGGAGATAGTTGCCTTTTTCTCCCCTTTTAAGAAGAGAGAAATCATGTTTCCTCATTTTTTCCTGATGGTGTGTCTAGGTCTTCGCATACGAAGCTTGACCTTACTCTCATCATATCACCTCAGGGGTAAGACTTCAAGCAAAGGGGTACAATGTACATATTATGTAGTGTGAGTTAATAAGAAATCCGTCTCTGGTCTATTACATCTCATGGGTGCATTCAGAATAAAATTAATAGAGATAAGTATTTTAAAATCCAATGATAGAGTATAAGAATTTAAAACATTAGTTGAAATGTAAGCAAAGTAGCATGCAAAATCTACATGCAAAATACTTACAAATCTTTATGCCAAAACACACCAGTAGGACTTGAAACTGAAAAAGGATACCATTTGAAAACAAAGAAGTTATAAATAAATTAATCAAAATATATGTAAGGCTTATATGGAGGAAAATACAAAATTTTATTTGAAAACATTTTAAGATTCAAATGCCTGTAGAAGTATACTATATGTATAAGCTAAAAGATTCTATGTCTTAATTATATAAATTCTTACAAGTCTACTATAGATTCAGTGTAATTCCAATAAAAACTCCAGTAGACTGGTTTTTGAAGGCCACTAAGCAAAATTCTGATGAATTACAAATGACCAAATGACCAAATATACTCTAAAAGAAGAAGCAATAAATTGAGAGAATTTACTCTATTAGAGTTTAATCATTATTCTAAAATTCTGTTAAATAAAATATCATAGGGCTAGCACAGGAATACATAAAAGGACCAATAGGAAAATAATTTAACCCAGAAACTACCCTATGCATATGGGTCCTTTATTTGTGATACGAGTATCACTACGATGGGCAAAAGACAGTCTTATCAACAAATAATGCTGGAACTCTTTGGTGTGAATGTGAAAAAATATATATGAAATTGTATATCAATTCAGGAAAAATTAATTCCAGAGGAACTAAAAAAATTTTTGATGAAATTGGGGTAGGAAAAAATTTCTTAAAGAAGACACAAGTAATTCATAAGAACCCTGTGCATCCTAAAAAGACCAAACAGAGTGGATGGAGTAGAAGATATTTGTAACTCGTACACCAAAAATTAATTATATTTAGAATACATAAAGAGCTTTGTTATATAAAAAAGGTAGATAATTCAATGGAAGAAAAATGGACAGAGTAATATAAATGGCCCTAACAAATTTAAATCATTTTTCAGTTCCAGTAGTGATCAAGAGAAAAGCAAATTAAAACGGCATGTGTTCCATTTTATATCAGTCATGGAGGAAATCATGACAATGTAAGAAGACCAAGTGAGGAGGAAGTGGAATTGAAGGAAAATGAACACTTCAAAGGTGATGATTCCATAAGTAGTTCAACCATTTTATTTACAACCAGTTTGTCATCAACTGGCAGAGTTGAAATTAAACATATCCAGTACCCTAGCAAGTCTATTCCTGGATATATTTCAAAGTGAAAATTTGGAGCTATGCATTTCATAATTTATCATAAATGGAAGGGAGAGGGAAATTCTTATCAACCGAATGACTGAAGTGAAATGCATTGTGGAAAATTCATAAATGAAATACTATAATGAAAATGGATGGCCCAGTGCCACAAACAACAATATAAATGCATATTAAATATATAATTGAATAGAAGAAGCCATACAGCAATGTATACAAGCAATGCAATTCCATTTTTACCAAGTTCAAAAAGAGGAACGCTAAACTACATTGCTTAAGGATTCATATTTAAGTTTTTTAAATTTATAAACTAAAACCATTTAACTTATTGAAATTTTTGCACATCTAATTGCAGACAAATACAAGACAAGGCTCAAAAGATTGCTCCAATGATTACATAAGATTATGTGTAACAACTTGGTCCCTTCTTTAAAATAAGAAGAATGTACTCACTGTGTCTTCAGCCACGTGTGTTTTTCTCTCCTTCTTCTAGAACGACCTTTGTCATAAACTAGGAGAAAGAAATGAACAGAAAATAGTAGTTAAGAGAAGAATATATGTTTATGTTTGGTAGTATGTGCTGGATAGATAATCCCTGCAATGACATACTTTGTATTGAGAATAGAAATATGAGCAACATTGTCACCGGTTTCTAGGAACCTCGATCTAGTTTCATAAACACAAACTAAACCAAACCCACTGCCATAATTTGATTGTATAGCAACCCTTTTTCGTGTCACGAGGGCTGTAGTCCCCACCTCATAGCACATGATCTAATGTCATAGAGGTATGTAAAAACAAATTATAACTAAACATCTCACAATTTGGGAGGTGAATTGATTTCTGATGAATTTGAAAGTAGTGTATCTGACCAACCAGCCATCTATTAAAAAAAAGACTAGTTTCATGTGTGTTTAAGAAAATTGGGAGCTTTTTAAAAAGAGGTTTATGAGATACTTTCAAAAGGTGGGACTTGTCAATAACTCGAAAATTATGTCACCAATACGCTGGTATATTTAGTCATGCAAATGATAATTTCCCCTAACCATCTACAGAGGGCTTGCCTACTGCTCTCCCTCCTCTGCTCAGACTCACAGGCAGTGGCTGGTTCTCTCATTTCATCTTCAGCGTGGTCTCCCTGGATCTTCTTCCTTTAGATATGCCCTCATAACTCATTCACACCGCTGTCAACAATTGTGGTCCACTACCACCTTCTTAATTTTCTTCTTCAGGAATTTAACTCCAATGTTCTGTTCTATAAGGAACTGATAAGACCTGGGCCATTCTATCCAATCAAAAAAAAAAACTGCAAAAAGTCAGTCCTCTCCTTTTTAAAACACCAACATAATTTATTAAAGATCATAAAATATAGAGTATTCTCAGTCTAACGAAGTCTTCTCTTTTAAATCTCTCAGTGCTACCTTTTTATATATCTTGTTTTCCCTTTTTTGCTCCAATTAAATAGACTCTCTCTCCCTCTCTCTCTTTCTCTCAGGAACTTAGATTTAATTCTAGTTTGAATTATTTGGATGCATAGAAAATTGAATAATCTACTTTTCATCTAACTCAGTCTTATAAAAGTGGAAGGTTTCATGAAAGAGCACACCAGGAGGTGGTCAGGTAATGGATAGAAAATGTTATTTTTTTACAACTTGGAGACTCTCATGTAACATCTCACCTCTGATTCACTCTTTAAAATCAACAAAATAATTATGCAATGCATTTATCAAGATTATGATAGGTGTGTGCACTTTGCTTCCAGTTTCCAAAATTAGCATGTTCTACAGACAAAATTAGTCATTCTACAAACATGCACTATGAAATTAAACCACTGTGAATGTGGAAGAAAATGCAAGGCTATTACCAAACATCGCAGGTCAGTACAACCAAAACCTGATGATCTTATCCCATACATATTATATCCTAGAAAATCCTGTGTGGCAGTTCAATTCAATGACTGGGAATTAACTGGTAGCTCCTAATAACAACAACAACCTCACTTTTCATAGATACCTACTAAAGTCAACAATGAAAAATCAAACACTTACTGAGTTTATTCTGCTGGGTCTCACCTATCAACCTCACCTCCAAGTGGTGATATTCATCTTTCTGTTATTGGCCTACTTGATGAGTGTCTTCGGAAACCTGGTGATCATCGTCCTCACTCTCATAGATCCCAACCTCAAGACCCCAATGTATTTCTTCCTCCGAAACTTCTCCTTCTTAGAAATACTCTTCACATCTATTTTCATTCCCAGATTGCTGACCAGTTTGACAACAGGAAATAAGGTCATAAGCTTTACTGGCTGCTTGACTCAGTACTTTTTTGCTATACTACTTGGGGCAACAGAGTTTTACCTACTGGCCTCTATGTCCTATGACCGCTATGTGGCCATCTGTAAACCCCTTCATTACTTAACCATCATGAGCAGCCAGGTTTGCATGCAACTTGTGTTCTGCTCCTGGATGGGAGGACTTCTGTCTATCTTACCACCAATCATTCTGGTAAGCCAAATTGATTTCTGTGCCTCCAATGTACTGAATCAATATTACTGTGACTATAGACCTCTTGTGAAGATTGCGTGTTCGGATACAAGTGTCCTAGAACTGATAGTCATCCTCTTAGCGGTTTTGACTCTGGTGGTTACTCTGATGTTAGTGATACTTTCTTACACCTACATTATCAGGACCATTCTGAGAATCCCTTCTGCCCAGCAAAGGAAAAAAGCCTTTTCTACTTGTTCCTCTCACATGATTGTCATCTCCCTCACTTATGGCAGCTGCATCTTTTTATATATGAACCCATCACCAAAGAAAGGAGGTGATTTTGACAAAGAAATATCCCTACTAGTAACATCGGTGAGCCCCTTGTTGAATCCTTTTATCTACACCCTAAGGAATCAGCAGGTAAAGCAAGCCCTCAAGAACATAGTAAATAAGATTTTGAAGTTCTAATAATCAGACTATTTTAATGGACAAACTATTGAAGAGCAAGTGTTTTAATAACTATTTATGGTCTACTATGTTTCAAGTGATAGGCTCAGCACTGAGAATAGAAATATGAGAAACATAGTTGACAATTTCTAGCAATCTCCTGCCTGGTATCAAAATGAATCATTACTCACCAGCATCAAGTTCATTCTGACTCACAGCAATGCTATCTAGTATTATAAAGGAATATAAAAACAAACCATAGTTGAAATAATTAGATACTATTACAGATGAAAAATGAGAATGCATAGAAGAGATTTGAGACAAATAATTTTACTCTTTATTCCAGGAAGTATTTCCCTTGGGAGGTGAAATTTGAAAGCAAAGCATAGTTTATGATGATCAGAGCATGAGTATATGAATTGAGTGTGAAAGGCAGAGACCTGACCTCGAAGACAATTTGCTGCACACTGATGTATTAGTTGGGCGTTATTGAGCCAACGGAAGTTATAAAAACAAAAGTTATATTTGTTTTGGTTGGGAAATAGACCTTTGATGCTAAAGCAGAAAATAGATATATTCCAATAAATGAAATAAGTGGCAATACCTCAGATACAGTGGCATACACTTGGCTAGTAATACAAGTAATGTCTTGATACATGCAAGCATATGGATTGAGCTGTAACCTTATGATGAGTAAAATACGTCGATCACAAAAGAACAAACACAGTATGAACATGCTTTACTTATATAAAAACCAAAAGACAATGTATAGAAGCCAAGGTGTGTAAGTGCTTATCAGGGGTGGTAGGGAGGAGGAAAGGAGGTATAGCTTCTGCAGCACAGAGTTTCTGTTTACAGTGATTAAGGATAGGATTGTACAGATGGTTATTGTAACTGCTGCAAATAAGTTACAAGCCTAGTGTGGCAGTTGCATAATCTCCTGTCAACTTGAGTGAAGGGGTGAAGTCTGTCAATTAGGTCATAGCCAATGGTTCCTCTGTGTGGGCATGACATTCTCCTGAGGATTCTGGGAACTCCTGTCTTCCTCCCTGGAGGCAGGACAAACTCTCCCCCTGCTTTACTTTCCTGTTGTTAAGCCACAAGGAGCTATGCTGATGGCAGCCAGAGCCGTGGAGCTAGAGGAGCTATATGGAGACCCATGCTCGCGCTGAGATGCTTCTATCGCCACTGGATCCACAAGACTCTCCACCCACTAGTCTATGACCTTCCTGCATTCAGCATCATTTCATGTCTTGTGTGAGTCTGAAGAGGAATTTATAGACTGTTATTGGACATATGGGCTAATATCAGACTTGATCTGGACTGGGCTTGGATGTTTTCTTAGCATCCAATTACTCTTTGATATAAAGCTGTCTCACACTTATGAGTGTCTCTGGATTTGTTTCTCTAGTCTACCCAGACTAAAACATCTATAAAAAATTGAATTGGAAACGGTTGAGTGATAACAAAAAAGAGTAAATCCTTTATCTTCTTATGTCTTTGATGGGATACAGTTCCATGGTTTAGAAGTATACAGTCAGAGTTTCATGGAATAGCCATGTTAATTGGCCTATGTGATTAGTTAAGTTCTATCTCCCAATTTGGCTAAAGACCAGCATAGTTCCTGGTCTTCAAAGAGTTAAGAGTCTCCAAAGTTTACAAGAGCCATCCAAGAGAAAACAATTGGTTTCCATTCATCTGGAGCAACAGAGGATGACAAGGAGTCAGGAATAGGAAAAGAAAATGAATATGTTGCTAACTGACTCCATGAATCTTTTACCATGAGACCAGAAACATTGGATAGGGCCCAGCTACCATAAGTAAACTTTTTTATCAAAGATTTTATAAAAGAATTCTGATCAAAATGAGGAAAATGCAAAACAGAATTTTGAATTTTTGTGGAATCCAGACTATCTAGAGCCATGGAGAATGGATGAAGCCCTGTGGCACAATGATATACTTAATGTGGCTCTTCTAGCCTAAGTCTTTGTTGTTTCCACCAAACAACTGGGTGGGACCGAGTATACTGGTGTAGTTCCCTTTTCTTGATGGTCTGACTAAGAGAAGGTGGGGGAAGATAATGGTAAGATGATATTATTTTGTTGCAAGTTACTGTTAACAGGACTAATTGTGGTTCTATGAACTTGAAACTCAAACATGGGACTGGTTAATTTTGCCATCTTGCTGAGTATAAAACGAGCCTTCTCAGAAGCAGGAAGGTAGGATCTCACTACAATCAAGGAAGCCAAGAATTGCAGTGCATCTTTTGAACCCCGAAATCTCCGTGCACTGAATCTCCCCAGTCCAGGAGACAGAGATGTGACACCAGAGGAATGGAAGAAGAGTGGCAGCAGCTGAACAAAGAGTTCAAGACAGGGCAGTGGTTTCCTGGGCCATTAAGCTTTGTGAAGCACTATGCTTCAGACACTGAATTGGGGGTGCTAGGTTGGCTAATGCACCAAGCTAGAGCAGAGTTGAAACGTATAGCACAGTTCCATGCCCTTTGGGTATTCACAGGCAAAACTAAAAGATCCTTGGAAAATTGCCAGAACAGGACAGAAGCAAGACCAAGTGGTCATGGTCAGAAAGAAACCTAGCTGGTGGGCACATCAGAGAATAGGTTATCCGGATCAATGAACTGTATCTTAACATTACAATCCTAATTTGTAACCTGTTTGCTTCCCTGATAAACTCCATAATCATAAGGATGATCTGTGAGTCTGCTCAGCCAAGGCAACGAAGAGTGTCATGAGAGGAAAGGAAGACGACTGGAAGGTGGACGTATGTCTGAGCCCAGCTCATAGGAATCAGGCTTTCAGGAGGAGGTGATTCTCCTCCTCTCTACTTGTGAAGTTAGAAGAGGTCAAATACTGCTTCCAGGTGCATTTTTTTAAACAACCCTCATTACCTTGAAGAAATCTCTAAACCTTAAATCAACAATAACCCCTGAAGCCTTCGTAAATATGGACAATAGTTTCATTTAGCTACTAAATTATATCCTCCTTGAACAGTATGCTCTTCAAGATCTACATATATGGGATCAAATTTGCAACATTAACACAAAAAAAATATATAGGAACCTTAAAAGACAACGAATTTATTATGTAAATGGGAGGAATAGCTCAGAACAGTAGGGTGAGAAAGATTTCATAATTCAAAATATTATCGCTGAATTTCACTGGTAGACACTGTTGAAGCAGTGTATGTTTTACTGTATATCTTCTCAACAACAACAAAAAAATATTTTCTAAAGCAAGATGGCAGCATAGTCTGGCACTTCATAATGTCCCTTTTTCAACACAGACCCCCCAAAATAAGTTAATCATATATGGATGGAAACCTTGAGCATCAAAGGCAAGATTGAAGAATAGACTGAGTGCCGAGTGGCGTCATGGCTTGCCAGTACCCTGCCAGCCACGCCTGCACAGTACAGTCACACTGAGACAGAGCAAGCAGCATTCCATCTATCACCTGGTTCGGCCAATTAGGGTAAACTGTGCATCCACATTCTGGGTCAGGCAGGAGTACTCAGACCCTGTGAAGGTTAAGGGCATTCATCTCACCCACCATGCTCCCTTTCTGCCACAGGTCTACACCCCTGTAGTACTCCCCTGCCCGGCCGAACCCACCCCACCCCACCCCACACACACATGATTATACACCAGTGGCACCAACAACCGCCCCACCCTCTGAACCAGGGTCCACAGTCTGGCAGAACCCACCCCTTCACTCAGCTACAAATACTAAGGATTCAAGGATCAGAAGCACTGCCTTCTTTGTCTGGCCACCAAAGCCAAGTTGTCACACAATGGGACCTACAGACCAATGGCACCTACTGATCCACCCAGTGAACCAGGAGCCAGCCAACTGGAGGTACTCGTATCTATTCCCAACCACCCATAGAAGGGTCTCAGAACAGCAGTGCCTCCTACTCCCTCCAGCCACCAGATGTTCAGAACTCTGATGTGGTCAGACTGATGGCCAGAGTCACCTGCACACCCTACCTAATCAGATATATCAAAACAAAACAAAATATCATGATGCAGAACATATACATACAAGAAATAAGTACTCATAAATGTAGGACCCCTGGATGCATTAGAAAGAATACAAAATATCAAATCACATAAGCAAGCAGGAAAAGATATTTCCAGCAAGAGGCTAAACAAATTAAAAATCAAGACAAAACAGAAAACTTTCCAGAGGAAGAAATGTTCAAGGGACTACCTAAAAAATGAAAATATTAATTATAGGGTTCTCCAAGAAATTAAGGAGACCACAAGAAAAACAGGTGAAACACAAACAATACCAAGGAAAAGAAAGACAGAGCAATAAAACACTTTAGGAAAACAGCACAAAAGAAACAAAATGGTAAATTAAAAACATGATTTAAAATAATATGAAAAGAGTAACTATAACTACAAAAGATTAACATAAAATGTCAGAAACAAGGAAAATAATAGGAGGACATGGTGGAAAAATTGAATCAATGGAACACAGATAAAGCAAAATAAAGGCATTGTGATTGGTCAGGTTGATGAGAGAAACAAATCCAGAGACACTCATGTATGCATGAGAACTTTACATCAAGAAGTAACCATACATGGAGAAAACATCCCAACCCAGTCCAACTCAAGTCCATAAACCTGATACTAGTCCATAAGTTCTTCTTCACACTCATGCAGCCACATGCAATGATGCAGAATGCAGGAAGATCACAAGCCGGTGGGTACAAAGTCGTGTGGATCCAAGGGTAAAGTTCGTCGCAGGGCTCTGGCCAGTGTCGGCCAGCAGAAAGTGAAAGCAGAGGGAGACTACGGGAAGGTTCCCGGGCCCTCCTTATGAGAAGGCCGTGTGCACGTGTGTTTCACGTCCATAAGGAGACACCAGCAGGCTGTGACATGATGGACAGGTTGAATTCCACCCCGACACTTTTACATATCTTCAGTTACAGACGTAGAATTGAAACAAGGAAGGATGAATTGGTGAGGTGACTTTGTAGCCAAAGCTCTCAAAACGAA